TAAAAGAAATAATACCGGCTCTAAAACACTACCTTGAGGAACACCGTATTTTTTTTCTCTGTACTTAGATGAGAAGGATAATATTTCATTATTTACCAATTTGTCAATGACGACACACTGCCGTCGATTAGATAAATAAGATGAAATCCACTCTAGAGCTATCCCTCTAATTCCAACCAAATCTAATTTACTTAAAAGAAAACTATGTGTGACAAAGTCAAAGGCTTTACTTAAATCAAAGAATAATCCTGTTGTTAGTAGGTTATTATTTATGCTAGAAATTATTGTTTTTATAAGATTAAAAGCTGCTAGCGTTGTAGATTTCTTTTTCTGGAAGGCATATTGTTCTGTTTTGATTATGTTAAACCTCTCAGAAAATTCCATTAATCTCTTATAAAAACATTTCTCAAAAACTTTTGATATTATAGGTATATGAGTAATCGGTCGATAATTGTAATATTAAATGGTTTAAAAAATTAATGTGGAAATTATCCAATAAGTCATAATGTCAAAAGTTCGCATACAAAAGCTTTAATTATTCTTCTATTAATTCCGTCGTAACCTTCCGAGGCAGTGTTATTTAAGGACATGATCTCTTTACTCACCTCTTCTTTCGACATGGGTTTAAGAAACATTGAGTTTGATAGTGATATTGTATTTTTAGGTGTAATATTTTCCATGTTATCATTATTAGTTATAATATAATTAGTAATGTCAATAAAATACTCATTAAAAGCGGTTGCTATATCGTAAGGGTTCGTTAGGTTTTTATCATTTATTTTTAGCTCCTTAATATTATCCAATTTTGTATTTGAAATTTCTTTTTTACGGACCATGTTGCCCTGCATTTATTTTTACTCTTACTTATAAATTTTATATTACAATTCTTCTTGGATTGGTAGATACATTTTTTCAATAAATAAGAATATTTTTTATAAGTATCCTTATTTATTTTAGTTTTATTTTTATAGTATCGATACCGCAGTGCTCTTTTTGTTCTACAACTATTTTTCAAACCTTTACTAATCCAATTATTTTGATTACTATTTTGTATTAGTATTTTTATTCTTGGGAAACATAGGTTATAAAATAAGCAAAATAAATCATAAAAATTATTAAATTCAATGTTCAAGTCAGTTTCTAAATATGTTTCACACCATGATAGATTATTTAGACATTCCTTGAATTTCCGAACATTACTTAAATTATAATCCCTTTTGTATTTAAAACATATCTTATTTATTGATTTATTTTGTTGAACATGGAAGCTTAATAACTGAGCTGTATCATGGTCTGATAGAAACAAAGGCAATACTGTTGCAGAAGCATTCTCTATATTACTAAGAATATGGTCTATACATGTCTCCTTTCTAGTTGGAACATTAATATGAATTTTAAGACAGTAATGAAGACATAAATCATGAAGATAACTGTTGGCTTTTCCTGGCTTAGGAGTATTAATATTTAAATCACCAGTAATTACAAGTTTAGTATTGGTATTATTGTTTTTAAATATTTCACGTAACATTCCGTCTAACTTGTTCAAAAACAGAATTGCGTCTGTAGAGGGAGTCCTATAGAGACAAATTATTAGCAAGTTGTAAAGAGGAATCTCAATACCACAAACTTAAAATAACTTTTGCGTTGCTAAACTATTTATCTTATTTAATTTTTTATATGCAATATCTTTCTTCACTAAAATACATGTACCGCCTCTAGACTCATCCCTACAGAACGAACTGGCTAATTCATAATTATTAATGTTTAGGTATTTTTCATGATCAGTACGCAAGAAAGTTTCTGAAAGACATATAACATCTGGGGCGTTTCCTGCCTTATCTAGTTCATCCAATGTTAATAATACACCTTGTTTTGGTAATATACTAGCAATATTTTGATGTAATATTTTTAAAAGCATCTTATTTGTAGTATTCTTATTCACGAAAAAGATAGTTTTTATTTAATAGTTTAAAGTAATACGGTATTGTACCTTTAGGCGCGGTATTTATATCATTAAAATTATTAATATTAGTCACTCCCGAAACAGTTATACTCGATTGCATTCAAGCAAAATAATAGGGAATTGTTCCTTTTTTATATTTGGAGCTGCTGGATTTATCAGATAATAATATCGATTTATTATTACAGCGTAGTATAAACTTTTTTAATTGCTTGTCACTTAGAAATTTGTTCTTATAATCAATATAGTCAATTACGGAATTTATTGATTTACATATAGAATATAAATTATTGGACATACAATTCACGTAATGGCAGTTTACAAATTTATTACAAATATTTTCTAAAGTATTATTTAAATCGTTAACACATATGTACTTATTTTTAAACAAACTTAAGACTAGTATACTATTTAACTTGTACCAGTTAATTAATGTGCATATTTGTGAAGATAGTATTTTCAGGTCGTAATCATTTTCTCCCACACACACTATAATTTTATCGTTCGAGGCTACTTGTGTATTATGCATATTTTTTAGCACATCAGGCGTAAGTGCATATGGTTTTATTCCCGAGTAAATGGTATATTTTTCATAAGCCGTATTTGCTCGTGAGCGTATTAAAGCAGAGGCTAGCCCAATGCATTGTTATGTGCCAAAGATAAATATTTTATCGCAGTTAACATATTGTTTTTTGATGTCTGAAATTACCGTATTAGAGTCTTGTGTAAGTTTTATTGAAGACCCTACATTTTTTTGATGATATTTTATGTTGCAACATTTGAATTTTTTCATTAAGAATTTTAATTTCGTTTTCAGCGCTCTTTAATTGGTTTTCTAATTCCGAAATCCTTTGTTTTAAGATAATAGCTGTCTCCGCATCAAATACCTTTTTCTATTTTTTTCCTTTCAGATAATTTTGTGGGCGTAGGAGCGGTTGGCGAATATAAAACTTTGAAGTGAGCAGAATGAATATTTTTCTCTTTTATTATGTTTTGGTGTTTCATTTGGATATCCTTTATTGGTGATTGACATAGAGTTTTTAGTAGGTTATTTTCTTGTGTTAATTTTGTGATTTGTCTCCGAAGGTCGTTGTTCTCAATTATAGTATTATCCAGCTCATTTTGCGTACTTGCGATCTCTGACCGTAAATTATTTATAGTGTCCTTCATTTCCTGCACCGTAATAGAATCAGTAATTGTGAAGTCATAGCTCCGTGATAATATTTGACTAGGTGTAACCTGGGAATCGTCAGATGAGTGAAGAGTGGTTAATATGTGGGAGTCATTTATCGGCGATTCATTCTTTTTTGCTACCACTGTTGTAGGTGTCATATTTACACTCGAACTATGTGAGTATTTTTTTCTAAATGTAACGTATGATGGATCACCAGTAGGTGTAGATTGCCCAGTAGACATTTGCTTACATGCTTTACATTTCCAATTTTTTCTACTTTCTATATCCTTTAAGCGATAAAGTTTTTCAGAATAGCCAATACAGTCAAATTCATAATATTTTTTACATATTAAACATAGCAGTGAATTTTTAGCTTCAATAGTTTTTTTACATTTATTACAACTTACAAGTGATGACATCTTACGGCTGCTATTTTTTGAAAGACTTTGGTTAGGCATCATAGAAATTTAACGTTGATATTAAATATAATTTTTAAAATATTTTAAGATTTTTCTTACGATAGATGTCGCAGTTCTTTACTGATTCTATATATTCATTTTCAATCTTGTGTCGTTTATAATCTGTCTCCTTTAAAACTGAATCTGTCTTAATGTATGTTGGAAATGTAGAAAGAAAAAGATGCGCTTTGTTTGTCCGACTTGATTTGAACCGTCTACAACTTCAGGAATCGAGTGACACCGAACGGCGAAACAACTAGGCCATCACTACATTAAGCTATATCGGCGAATTTGAGTAATATGCTGTGTATATTGTCAAACCACTATTTGTAATTAGACCGGTAATTTTGTCATCGGATACTTTTTCGATTCACCGTCAGTATTAAAAATCAAAGTCTTTCTTTAATATTAGTACACAATTTGTTTAGTGTTTTTTTAAGTAAACTTACGTAGTTTCGGTGAAGAATCTTTCTACTGGAAACGAGGCATTCCATCTTAGTCTTCATGGTTGACAACGCATCTGCGTATTGATTCTTAATTGCGGATAAATGCATCCACTTACCATCATGTGGACTGTGTGCTTTTTACTTACATTTATTCTATTTAAAAAGAAATTGTGTGCCCATGTCTTGTGATCGCCTAGTTAGTACCGTTAAAAACGCAGTCGAGAGTGATCACGTGTGCAACAGCTTTGAATTTATTGCTCTTGCTCCTTAATTATTTATTGTTAAGGTTTTGTTTGTTTTATGTTAGTGTTTTTTTTTAAATCAAAATGGGTAAAGGGAAAACCTATCACGGTAGCGAAGTGTTATTTTAAGGTTCTAACGTTTATCGAGAAGGAAGAACAAAAAGGTTCGCCTATAATAAATCTGAATACCAACTCCAAGGTCCTTTTATAAAAAAAAAATTCTAGGGATATAACGATACTTAATTGTGCCGATTATTGTAGTAAATAATACCGATACTGATACCTTTACCGGTGACTGAGTAGAAAAAGAAAAAATAGTAATAAATAATTTTCTTTATTATGCATAAAGTTACCTATAGTTATCAGAAAATGATCCTTGAGAAGGTTGCAAACCGAAATGGCAAATCAAAATTTCAATACAAAAATTCAAAGAAATAATTTTTTTTATATAAATAATCAAGAACATTGTCAAGCAATCTGTGATAATTAAGAAAGTAATTTTCATTACACAAAGTTAGAAAGTAATTAGATATAAAAAATAAAGTCAGTATTTTGTAATTACAGTTAATATCAATAGATATTTGTGAAGAAATCAAAGATTGTTTAAATTATTAGCAGATAATCTGTTACTACATTCTACTACAACCGTACTAACCATCGACACATGACGTCGTCAGCCAACTTTCTGCGCGCAGTTAATATTTTGTAATTGTTCGTAAGGAGAAGAGTTTAGGTGTGCGCTACACGCTGGTGCAGTTAGCGGGCCGCGCGGCCGCGTGCGGGGAGCGGCGCGCCGCCGCCGAGCTGCGCGACGCACTCGCCGCCGCGCCGCGCCCACACCACAACCCCGACCACCTCAAGGTACTCCCCCGCACCACCCCGAACACCTCAAGGTACTCCCCCCCGCACCACCACTACCACCTCAAGGTACTCTCCCGCACCACCCAGACCACCTCAAGATACTCCCCCCGCACCACCACTACCACCTCAAGGTACTCTCCCGCACCACCACTACCACCCCAAGGTACTCTCCCGTACCACACAGACCACCTCAAGGTACTCCCCCCCGCACCACCACTACCACCTCAAAGTACTCTCCCGCACCACCCAGACCACCTCAAGGTACTCCCCCGCACCACCCCGACCACCTCAAGGTACTCTCCCCGCACCGCCACTACTACCTCAAGGTACTCTCCCGCACCACCCAGACCACCTCAAGGTACTCCCCCCGCACCACCACTACCACCTCAAGGTACTCTCCCTCACCACCACTACCACCTCAAGGTACTCCCCCGCACCACCCCGACCACCTCAAGGTACTCTCCCCGCACCACCACTACCACCTCAAGGTATTCTCCCGCACCACCCAGACCACCTCAAGGTACTCCCCCGCACCACCACTACCACCTCAAGGTACTCTCCCTCACCACCACTACCACCTCAAGGTACTCTCCCGCACCACACAAACCACCTCAAGGTACTCCCCCCACACCACCACTACCACCTCAAGGTACTCTCCCGCACCAACCAGACCACCTCAAGGTACTCCCCCCGCACCACCACTACCACCTCAATGTACTCTCCCGCTCCATCCAGACCACCTCAAGGTACTTCCCCGCACCACCTCTACCACCTCAAGGTACTCCCCCCGCACCACCACTACCACCTCAAGGTACTCTCCCGCACCACCCAGACCACCTCAAGGTACTCCCCCCGCACCACCACTACCACCTCAAGGTACTCTCCCGCACCACCCAGACCACCTCAAGGTACTTCCCCCACCCCCGACCACCCCAACACTACACCACCCCAAGGTACTCTCCCGCACCACCCCGACCACCTCAAGGTACTCCCCCCGCACCACCACTACCACCTCAAGGTACTCTCCCGCACCACCACTACCACCTCAAGGTACTCTACCGCACCACTCAGACCACCTTAAGGTACTCCCCCCGCACCACCACTACCACCTCAAGGTACTCCCCCGCACCACCCAGACCACCTCAAGGTACACCCCCGCACCACCACTACCACCTCAAGGTACTCCCCCCGCACCACCACTACCACCTCAAGGTACTCTCCCGCACCACCCAGACCACCTCAAGGTACTTCCCTCCCCGCACCACCACTACCACCTCAAGGTACTCTCCCGCCAATGAACGTTAGTAACTCTAAGGTATTGTAGGTGTATTGCTGATGTTATAGAAGAGAGTAAGATCTCTTACAAGAAATTTTTAAAAAATGCATGGTGGTGGACTGACTGCCATCCATCGAGATGATGAGGAAGGATGTCATAGTACAATGTAGTATAGATTTAGTCCTAATATATCTTGTATGTAAATTTTTTAAATACACAGCATAAGGCCGGCTCCACACGTTGGTCCCAACGCTCGTACCAACGTTGGACTGCGAGTTCGGTGAGGCGTACACACGTTGGCTAATAAACTAGTTCTGTCAAGTCAGGGCCAATGTGAAGATGTCCGATACAGAAATCGAAACTGCTCTGAGCGCTTTTATAGTACATAATAATAATATCATAAGCGAACCAATTTGGTTTAAAAATATCATCTATTGATTGATCCAGATCGAGTAGTCACTAATTATCTTTCTGTAAAGGCGATATGTGCTCATTAATGATTCTCGCTTTTTTTTAAATCTTCAATTGAGAAATTAATTCCCATATTCTGTCTGCATCAGCTAATAAATTTTTATTCTTATTATCCTTTCGAGTTGCGTCCCATATTATTGGATGTGCTTGATAAAGTTTAATAAATTCTATGACTTTTTCAATCGTCCATGCCGGTGGCGATTTTGTGGACGTGAAAGCCATTCTTGCTCGACGTACGCACTTGCTGGGTGTTGCAACAGAACTCAGCAAAGTGCCAACGTGTGGACAGATCGCGAGCGTTGGCGCAGATTCCTTTGATGAAACCGACACGAGCCGGCCAACTACCAACGCTCGCCCCAACGTTGGGACCAATGCCATTTTCTAGATCCACACGTTGGACGAGTAGCGTTGGGACCTATATTGGGGCCAACGTGTGGAGCCGGCGTAACAATACTGAATTTAATTTCAGGTAGCAGTTGGAGCATCGAAGTTGGAGCTCCTGTTCCGCGCAAAGGACACATTGATGGATAGATAAGGCTAGAGAAATAAAAACTTCCTTTGTTACTTGTAAGCAATAATTTTTATAAAGTTCATCAAAAAGACTGTACAAAATATTTTTTTTTATATAGTATTATAATAATTTTAATTTAACATACTAAAATTCATTACAGGAAGATCTTTTGTTAAGCAATCATAATATACTTAATATTATGATTATGTATCAAAATAAAAATAAAATAATCTCAGGAATATAATTCATATTGTAAGCTTAATAAAGACTCGAAAGTATAAACTAGACTTGCAGATTATTTACAATAACAAAGTAGAGATTATTGATCCAGACAACTTTAACATACAAATTAGATATATATTAGAAATTATCACAATATTTGAGATTGATCCTCCAAACGCGCACTTACAAATTGAGCCATTATTCCATACATATGTTATTAGTTTGTAAAGTATACTTAACATTTTACTTTTAGATATATATTAATTATTATTATAAAGATATAGTTTTATAATAATGCTATATTTTTGGTTAAAACCTGGACAGCACACTTAATAATAATAATAAAAGGAACGGAACTTAAAAGGAATATACTCGGTTTTGGAATCATAAAGATTATATTGTATCATAATTAACGTAACGTCACAGTCCTTCACAAGTCCAATTCTGAACATTTCCTTCAAGGAATTATACTAATCTATTTCTTACTTTATTTTTACTTTTCCAAGCCACTGCATGACTACTATATGTACATCTTACCGAGTTTTACCGCTGCTATATAAAAATGGAATAGCTTAAACATATTGTTATTTATATATGATATGAGTTATAAATGAGCTAATAGTACCTGGTAATTGGTTATAGACGTCTTGCAGACTAAAAACGGTTGAGGACTAAATTGCAATGTCTCACAGCCTTTATTTATCCTGGTGAAAATATACCTACGTTGCGTCCCCCCTCCTCAAACCAGGTTGTCGCTCGCGCGGTTGAACTGACGCGCGCCTTACTTTGACAAAAAGTATTTTTTTCTTATCTATGTTTAGGCACTTGTTATTTATTTTTGAGTTTTTACCTACCTTGCATCTTTTAACCTACCATGCATTGAACAAATAGTATTCTTAATATCAGCAAATTACTAATACATTACATAATACTTCGGTGTATTCTACTACCAATTAATATCAAAGGATTCACTTTGTTTTCACACAATACCTAACCCTACAGTTGGAGCGGACTTAACAATTTGATTTAATACGCGCGCCGCATTCATTATTTCTTTCGACGATTTAATCGGTAGGCTAGTTTCACGAAGCTCGCTTCCGAGGCGTGCAAAGTATTAACATTGGCTACGTTGTAACTAGGTTTAAACTAACAATGTTGGCTATCAGGGCGTGATCCTTCTGTTCCTTGAACTATTACTTATTCTGTGGCAGTAGTATCAAATACCACATACTTAAAATATATAATTTATAGGTTGTTTTAATTGAAAAATAACAATTAGGTGCTTGATGACCACACAAATGAAATGGTAATTTCCCAAGGTTATTTGAAATTTTGCATTTGATTACTTGGTATTTTTATAATTAAAAAATATTCAATTTTTCATAGTAAGCTACCTAGTTAGGTTACAAAATACAACTACGTTAGTATATCTTTCCAATAAAAAGTAAATGAGCAAAAAATTGGGTATTAAGATTCGTACGTTTACGTAGAAATGCAATAAAATTACTTTCCGTCATCGTCGCATTAATTTTTTAACTGGTTCGCTTTTAACTTTTGTTCATTATCAATCGTATTAATTAGTTTAAGCATTAGAAGCTTTTGAAACAGCAAACTTTATTTGATAAATACACTTAGTACGGTTTGAACCATATAACATTGGAGATATTCCTATTAGATGCAATACAATTTACTAAATTTTCTTTACATACATATATATAAATTTCGTAAATTAAATAAGATATTATATTTTTGACAAGATAAAAATATGTTTTCACCCAGTCTTGTGCTTACGCACATATACAGTTTTGTGAAAATTACAAATCACTATATAGAACTTAGTTTAATGGCCCAGTCGTATATTTCACTAGATTAAATAATTACAAGTCAGGCGTACGGCAAGTCCAGTCCAAGTCTGAGGAGCGGCAGTGTGAGAGCGGTGCCCAACAACTGACGGTCGTAGGTGCCGCGAATTTCCCACCTGTGGGACAAGCTTGAATACTTTATTTTCTTAACTAGTATAAAGGTAAATAATAATATAATAAAGGTAAATAATGAGCTATAAAGGATGCCTTATTTACCTTTATTATACTTTCACAACCCACGATAAAAGTGATATATAATAAATCTTCTTTTATATTTTTTCGTAGTCATATAATGGTGACAGTGTAACACAACACGCTAGTTGTGTAAGTCATTGTACGTTCACGTGCATACGCTCACATACGTGCGTGTGCATGCGTGAGTACGTAAAATCTATAGCAATACAATTTTCCACTAATGTAAACAACGTTAAGTCAGTCTTATTTATCAGCCAGTAGTCTGCTACTACTCAGTACTACAGTCTGCTGAAACTAGATCAGTAGGAAGTTGAAAACAGTCGCCGTGCCAGACAGGCGGCGAAGAGGTGACGCAGTAAGTAGTCTTGTCTTTACCTTTAACGATGCTCCTCGTTTGTAGGATCTCGGTATATAGGATATTTTGCATCTGGTATTAAACCATATTTTGCATTTGATCATGCCCATATCAGTAGCTGCACTGCAGCACTGCTAGCCATGTGTGATGATGCGATATGTACCCAAGCGAGTGCAGCAGAGTGCGCGCGGCATGCTGCAGGTGGCTGCTGACGGCCTCCAGCGACTCCAGCCCAGAGTCAACGGCTAGCTGCCGCGCTGTGGATACCAGGCTACGTCCCACTCCACGACGCTGCCAACTGTTGAAGAACGTTGTTCATTAATTCATCCATTCATTTATTACAGCCTACCAAAAGTCAAAACCACAAATTTTAGTGGAAAATTCACTAAGTTGGCAACATTAGACAACACTGCAGCACGCGCCGAACGCGCCACATTATATGACATCAGCATGCCTTTTTAAATATTCGAATACATACCGCATTTTATAAAAATGCAATGTGCGAGGTTTTCTATGATTTCATACAACGAATTTTAAAATGCGGCGCGTACGGCGCTCACGGTGGCAACAAATGTGCGTTCGGCTATTGGGAGAATAATCGCTCAAAAATGTTTCAAAGCTTTTTTTATAGGATAGGGTGACAAACGAGCACACAGTCCACCTGATGGTAAGTGGTTGCTGTGGCCCATAGACATCTACATCTATCCTCGATTATGAATCAAAATGCAAATGCGTTGTCACCCGTGAGAACTATCTCCGGTTCTCTACATTCACCATACGAAATACAGCAGCATTAAGCTACTATTTCACGCTGGTATTCTGTGAGAGTGGGGTTCTTCCCCGGTCGAGCCGACCCATTCATGCTACAACTATACTTCTAATATAACTGCAGCATGGCTCTACCACGTTGTTACATCAAAGTTAAAAATAAGATGCATTAAGAATGATAATCCGATTCCGATGATATCCCGGACGTCAGTCTGAGCGAGATTAGAATGGCTCTCCACCACCTTAAAAACGGCAAGGCCCCGGGCGAGGATGGAATTACAGCGGAGCTTCTGAAAGCGGGTGGAACACCGGTACTTGAAGTCCTTCAGAAGCTCTTCAATTCCGTCCTCCATGGTGGCATTACTCCGGAGACGTGGAGCAGAAGTGCGGTGGTCTTGTTCTTTAAGAAAGGCGACAACGCTCTCTTGAAGAACTACAGACCGATTTCCCTTCTGAGCCGCATCTACGTGCTGTTTTCGAGAGTCATTACGAATCGTCTCGCACGCAGACTCGACGACTTCCAGCCTCCCGAACAAGCCGGTTTCCGAAAAGGCTTCTGTATCATAGACCACATACATACCCTTCGGCAAATTATACAGAAGTCCGAAGAGTACAATCTGCCACTTTGCTTGGCGTATGTGGACTATGAGAACGCCTTTGATTCCGTCGAAATTTGGGCGGTGCTACAGTCTCTTCAGCGGTGCCTAGTTGACTATCGGTATATTGAAGTGCTGAAGTGTTTGTACAGTAGGGCTACGATGGCTATCCGAGTACAGAACCAGAGTTCGAAACCTATCCAACTGCAGAGAGGTGTAAGACAGGGTGACGTTATATCCCCGAAACTCTTCACCGCTGCATTGGAAGACGTTTTCAAGCTACTGGACTGGAAAGGATACGGTATTAACATCAATGGCGAGTACATCACTCACCTTCAATTTGCCGACGATATAGTCCTTATGGCAGAATCTCTGCAGGACCTTAGCACTATGCTCAATGACCTCAATGGTGTCTCCCAACGGATAGGTTTTAAGATGAACATGAACAAAACAAAGATCATGTTTAATGTCCATATCACACCTATGCCAGTAATTGTTGGGAACACTATGCTCGAAGTTGTTGACGAGTACGTTTACCTGGGACAAATAGTCCGACTAGGTAAGTCCAACTTCGACCGAGAGGTCAATCGACGGATTCAACTCGGCTGGGCAGCGTTCGGGAAATTACGACACATCTTCTCATCAGGTATACCTCAATCTCTGAAAACTAAAGTGTACAACCAGTGCGTGTTGCCAGTGATGACTTACGGATCTGAGACGTGGTCCTTCACCGCTGGCCGTATGAGGACGCTCAAGGTCGCTCAGCGAGCTATGGAGAGGGCTATGCTCGGAGTTTCACTGCGTGATAGACTCAGAAATGAGGATATCTGCAGTGAAACCAGAGTGACCGACATAGCCCAACGGATTAGTAAGCTGAAGTGGCAATGGGCCGGCCATATAGCTCGAAGAACCGATAACCGATGGGGAAGAAAGGTTCTCGAGTGGCAGCCTCGTACCTCGGTAGGCGTAGTGTAGGGCGATCCCCCACTTGATGGAGTGACGACCTGGTAAGACATGCAGGAAGTC